GAACGTTTTTCAACCCCCTTAACTTTTGCGAAATGAGACAATTTTGATATCAATAGATTCAGTACATCTTAATTTAGTTCTGTACGTTTTTCTTTTATAGTTAAAACGCTCGAGGAAGTTTTTAAGTCAAAAATATAGATTTTTAGACCTTATATCGTACCCAATATTTCCATAAAATAAAAACGTAGGTACGAACCTAGTTTTTTATTATACCTAAGACATTTGCAATAAGATCATTAATGTCTTCAAAAGAAAAGTTCTTTTTTCTCGTTAAGGTATTTGAATAGTTTTCTTGTTTATCATTCTATTATACAGTACACTGTTAGTCACGGATATCTCTCTCTCTCTCTCTCTCTATCTTTTTTTTGCTCACTCTCCTCTCTCGTTGTAATCTGCCCTAATCGCAGGTGTATTAATCATCGCAGTACAAAATGTCTTGCAACGAAATTGTATATTTATTATACTATGTATAATCTGTCTGTCATTCTATTACCCAGTTTATTTTAAGGGTGTCCCACGTAGTTTTTAGAAAGTATTATTGAACTCTCTCGGACTATTCAATAAGTATTATATTGTCCGAGAAAGAATACTTTTATGTTTTATTTTTTAACTAGGGCAATACAATAAATATTGCCCGAGTTAAATTATTCATGGCAACTTGAAGCTTTGTTTATGAGGTATAGTTCCGCGATTGCTACCGCCGGACTTATAATCTAATGTTTTGGAACAACCTTGTGTGAGATCTCGATTGAGAGATTTCGTAACTAATTTTGCGTGTATTACATTATTGTGTGTCTGAGAAGTAACAATTGTGAAGTAACAAACGTATATAAACAATAATGATTAATACACGCAATACATAATGTGTATACAACTTGTAGTTGGATTTAAACAATACTAGACTCTGCCACTCGCTTTATTCTCTTTTTACTATTTTTCTTTCAACATTTCGAAACCACCGAAACATTCTGTTCTTAATCCTGGTCACAAAATTTAATAATATTTATGTTATTCGATCATATTATTATAGCGTCTATACGCTACTTGTCTTCCAATAAATTCAAAATTTCTAAATAATTTTAACTATATAATTTAAATAAGCACAATGAAAAAAGTCTACTGATTAAACTTATTTGATAATTACTTAGGTTTTATAACTCTTTCTGCTTTAATTAGTGTGCTTATCTTGTTACTTTTAATATTTTATAAGCCAGGTTCCTATAAGGTTTATTTTGTATGATAATGTGGGAACTGACACTCTAATTTAGTTTTTGGGAATGACAAATAGAGAATAGATGCAAGTGTGTGCTCCACTGTATCCCCTCACCATTAGTTGGACAATGTGTTAATTTGTGGACATTACTCGAATAAAAACTAAAACCACCACTTTTTATCTGGAAACTTATGCAAACACTTGTCTTCCTAAATAAAGCGCCAGTGAAAGTACTCACTGTTTTTGTTGCTCTTTGAGTCCAGTCCACTTCAGATATAAAACACGGCCTGTTTACTCATAATTTGAAAAATGTTTATTAAGCTTTGCGTTTATTTTTCATCGTAAAATGTTGGCCTTTTCATAAAGAAGTCGTTGTTGTTTACTGACGAAACTTTATTCCGGCTTGGTAAATAAAGATAAGTTATGAAATACGGTTTGGCTGTTAAAATAATGTTTCTGTAAAAATGTTTTCCATCATAGGGTCTTTGGGGGCGGCCTATGTTTAGCAGTGAGCTTTAGTATCTAGGTTACAATCACTGATATAGTAATAATATTATTACGATTTCTGTGTTTGTATGAATAGAAGGATCGATAAATTAAAAATATATTGCGACAGAATTATTTTATGTATGTAAGGGGTAACGATATTTTTTTATATTTGCGAAAATTTATGCAATGAAAAATGTTACGTTTAGAATTTTCGAAGTAATTGAATTGATTTGTTAAATTTTTAATGTCTTTCCTCAGTTGTATTTTTGACGTAAAATAAATAAAGTTATGTATATTTTATTAATAAATTATTTCTTTGTCAACAGCAAATGACATTGGTAAGACCAAGCTTATTTATACTGCTATGACCTGCTAATGTAGCGATTTCTGTTTCAAGTTCTAGTTTTTTCTTTTTTTGTTTTTTTTTTAACCTGCTTGTTGTTCTCTTAATAATTATGTCTGATTTTGTAAAGAATTATGATTTTCGTTTGTGTTTTATCATTGGCTAATATTTTTGTTTTATATTAACTTTACATTATTTTATAGAATAAGGGTCACAAGCGGGAACACAGTCCGCCTGATGTTAAGTGGATGCTGTGAACCATAGACATCTACATCTATCTTCGATTAAGAATCAAAATGCACTGCCTTGTCACTCCTGAGGACTAAGATAGAATTCCTCGTATATAGTAAAAAAGAGTCTCTGGTTTAACCTTCACCATAAGAAATACAGCACTATTGCGCTGTTATTTTACGCTTATAATATTCTGTGGAAGCGTGATACTTGTACGGTCGATATGACCCATTCATGTTACAATCATAACATAGCTGCAGAATGGCTCCAACACGTATGGTATTTCAGTTTATTATTTATGCTATTTCATAATACACATCTACAATAACTTTTTATTTTTTTTTCCTTATCATTTGATAAATCCCTGTTTCGCTTGGACATAAACCGCTAAAGGTGGTTATTATATGACGCCGATATTCCCCTCGCCTCTTCATCACCCCCAACATTTATAAAGCGTAACTTGGTTACATTCCTCCCTTAGTGACGTTCCTAAATAGGCCTTGTTGTTTGTTTGAAATTGTTCACTTCATTTAAGTTTTATAATTGTTCCGTTTGGTAAAATCGTCGTCCTTTATTGTATTTATCTTTCCTTATACATTAATCTTTATTATATTGATTGATGCACGATTCCTATTGTCTTTAAGTTAGTTAGTTAGTTAGTTACTATCCGTTTCCTTAAATATATAGTGTACGTATATTATAAAAATTAAAAACCTATTCTATTTCAAAGTATTTGAACTTTAAACCATACGTAAGTCCAGTAAGTTTTTTGTTTTATCAATCTAGGCATCATTTACTATACAGAACGGGTACTTACTTATAAGAAAAAGTAAACGTATTTAAAAAGAAACCAGCCATAAGGTAATATTAACTAATGCTTTCCAAAAAGGTTTATATTATTAAAAAAAATCTCAAATTTGAATATATATAGAACTGACTTAGTCAACCTGATGGCAAATGGCTACCGCGGCCCATGTTAACCTGCAACCGACTTTAAACAAAGAGGGCTACAGATGCGCTTCCTCTCTGAAAACTAATAGGAAATGCCGCACAGCCTGTAACTATACCGGCTCTATATATAATATATTATTCCCTTCCGACCGGAAAACAGCGGTGCTTCTATTTAGCGGCAGAAGTGAGTAAGAGGGTGGTACTTACGTATAGTTCTTACAATTCACGAGGGCGATCGACCTTTGGATGTTGTGCGACATGTACAATGTACATGCACACTGTCACACTGTGCATGTACATGTCGCACAACATCCAAAGGTCGACTGCACTCGTGAATTGTAAGAACTATAGTAACCTGTGGTTGTACCTACCCATGCAGATTTCTAGTATAAAAGAGTTATACCACCGAGTTAAGTGTTTTCTTAAAGATAATAATGGTATTGTTTTGTTATTATTAAAATGCATTTTTATGTAATAAGACGAATGTGGTTCATTATTCCCTAATTATGTATGAATGCGATGTCAATATAACAAACGCACGTTTCAGTAATGTTTGTGTCGTATTTAATGCTAGTTTTGGTTGTTTTGTATTAATTGTGATAAAATTGTTTTGGTTTTGAATTGATTAATTATATTATAAAATCAAAAACGATGATAATTTTCTTCATAACCGTAAGAACATACAAAACTATAATACGCCTTGTAGCCCACTGCTGAGCCTAAGGCTTCAGTGGCATTGTGAATACTTAATAAGTTTTTCAAACAAATAAAAAAAAAACAAAAAAAAATTTTTATGTAGTATAATCACACCAACACACATTTTAATCTTCGCTTTAAAACAGTTACTTATCGTTTAAAGGAAGCTGTAGAAATGTCGGAATTCGATTCAGTGCATAGAGTTGTTTCTTTATTCGATTTTAACTGTTCACTACTGGACACGTGTCTCCCCCATTATATGGAGAATTTACAATAAACGACACACTTATCAGGTGGATGTCAATCGCAGCACAAGGTATGTCGCACTTGACCGTACTCCCCGTTATCAGACTCAGAATTTTTCATATGTCTATTATGAAAAATTCTGAGTCTGATAACGATATATTTTTCATAGTATGTATACTTAAATAGTTTCCCTGTCCGCCATATAGACACAATAGTTAAACAATCGAAATGTTAATATATGATTAATGGGACAGGGAAAGGGTTACCTAAGTCTCCGATAGATGGCGATATCGGTATCAAATGGAAACAATGAATTTTTTTTGACTTTCCGCATAGTCGGGTTTCCCATAGCCCATAGTAGACACCCGTAGAACGAAATGGGACGGCAAGTAGTTTTTTACGTTGTCATCACTCGGCAAATACCAAATGGGCATAGCCAATATCTTTTTCTAAGAAATCTTTTAGGGGGCACATACATACCCTCTTGACGTAACCTCTGTTGATGAAATGCTAGACAGCGTTAGAAATATCACTCGTGTGATGTTAAATCTACCCAAGTTTTCAGAGAGGCACTTGATTTTCTATCGAGCTGTGCTCATCATGTTTTACTTTATTATATTTCAATGGTAATTTCAGTCAAAAATGGAATCAGTTTTATTAAAACTAAAAACTAAACCGAACTCATCGCATGACAAATAAACCTGCCTCTGTTTGTATTCAAATAAATAAATAACGAATTAACTGAGTCCATATTTACATACTTTGTTATAAATAATAATCTTTGTATAAGCTTTTCACATAAAATAAAATGAAACATTTTTCTATCCGTAGGTGAAAAAAATGGCGGAACGCGTGGCGAAGTGTCGAGAGGAAGTGTCGAAATCTCGCGAGAAATATCAAGCGGCGCTAGCGGAGATCACGGCCTACAACCCGCGATACATTGAAGACATGACCAGCGTGTTCGACCGGTGCCAGCAGATGGAGGCGCAGAGGCTCACATTCTTCAAGGACGTGTTGTTTAGCTTTCACAAGTGCCTCAACATCAGCCAGGAACCCACGTGAGTACACATCTAGATCTAGTAGCCTTTGGAAGTAGTAGAGGCAAGCTGCAGCATAAATGGGTCGGTTCGAGCGGGAAATGACCATGCTCTTTCAGAGTACTTAATTCATTTTTCCAGGAGGTGAACGAGACAGCCTATCTTAGCCCTCAGAAGCACAGAATTAGTAATGGAACTAACGTATCAGAACTGACAATGCACCTGCATTTTGATTCTTAATCAAGAATAAATGTAGGGGTCTATGGACCACAGCAGTAACTTACAATCACGTGAACTGTGTTTGTTTGACATCATTATTTCTATGAAGGTATGAAGATGTTCTATGACGGATACGTATGGAAATGTACGAACGTGCGTCGTCGTCAACTGAACAGGTTAAAGAATAGTGCCACGAATATTTTTGTACTGCATTGATTACTAAAATTTTTTGTGAATATAAACTATACTTACTCTTTTGTGTACAACACTCTAACAAATTGGCTCTAAGATCACAACTTAGAAATAAACCATAAAAAGACCAAAATAATACAATTTAAAACATACAAAAGCAGTCCATTACTTAAAAATATCAAGCTAGAAGAAGTTGATACTTTTAACCTTTTAGGTTTGAAAGTAGGTTCACACATCAATTGGAAAACGCACATTTGTTAATAAAAATTTAAAATATCAAAATTTACGTATGCTTTATTTCAAATTAAATACACCACTGAGAGCCACGGCACTGTCAGCTTACTATGCCTATGCTCATTCGTGGCTGAAGTACGGAGTTATGTTGTGCGGAAGTAGCGTCGATGTGCAGCACCTATTTATTATCCAGAAGAAGAGCATTAGAATACCAGCCCAGATAGACAACATTACTAGCTGTACACCCTATTTCAAAAAACTAAATATTCTTACCTTACCCTGTATGTACATTGATGATCTATGCCTGTTTACTTGAACGAATTAAGATGTTAGAGTAAAGTCTGCTCAAATTCTAATTTCGCCCCCACTTCCCCGCGCGTCGTATGCTATGTACCGATATGTTTGTAATCACTAATACTGTAGAAAGGTCGTTAGACACTTATTTCATTAGGTTTATCATATTTATGCCTGTTTCTTAAAGCCAAGCTAGCCGCTTCTTATTTTTATCACGGTTATTTCCCAATTTTAATTTTACGTCGTACTGTTGCGTAATGTATATTCTGATCGTAAGCGACACAACTTCTCCCTTCAAAAGCCTAAGCGATACTAACGAACTAACGAACGGTGCGACAGGAATCAAGCTCAAGACGCCGATAGTTTAGGTAATTTCTTTTTACAGTGAAAATAATGGTATTTTAAAAAAAGTAAATAACATAAGCACTGCTTTATAGTTAGTTCAGTTAGTACGAGTATGCAAAGTTTCATGATCTTATTTAAAGTATTTTATGAATAACAGCGGTTTATTGTTTATTTTGGAGGTAACTTTGGATTTTTTTTCTATCGAGAAAATTTTACGAAATCGTGTTTTCGTCTAACATAATCACTAACATTAATCCTCAACTTTACCATATATTTATTTCAAAATTAATGCTGCAATATTTTCGGCATAACGAAGGATCTTGCTAAGCCATTTGACATTATATTTCCCCTTAACCACAATTTGTTCAAGCCAATTGTTTATATGTCAAGAAGATTAAAGATACACATAACATAAAATACATGCAACAAAAATAATTTATACCAACCACAGTCACGAACAACAATGTTAAAATACAAGCCCCCACTAATATGGCAATAAAAGACCAATTTATATTTATAATTAAGATTCTATTACCCATATCTAATAGCCATGTTTATATGTGGTAGAGCCGCGCTGTCTAATAATGTACCTGATCAAACATTTCATACCGTTTCAGCTTACCACAGATATACGAAGAATTCCATCATACGATAAACAACGCCGACCACCAAAAGGACCTCAAGTGGTGGGCCAACAACCACGGCGTTAACATGGCCATGGCGTGGCCGCAGTTCGAGGTAAGTCCGCAGTTGGTAACGTTCATTAACATGGGCGTAACAGGCGAGCTGTAGTTCCTCCACGTATTTAAATTAGGGAGAGACTAGACTTTAGAATATGTAGCTGAAACTACCACGTCTTCCAAACCACCTTGTTGCGCCCATGTAAATATAACAGCCGCCTTTAAAATATAACCGCGTCGTTGTTTGCATTGTATTAACTCGAATGCTTGAATACTTCTAGATGTTACACTCCTTCTAGAGGCTATCCGATACAGAATTGATGAGCATGTTTAACTTTATAGTCTTAGCTGTTTTCTTCTTGATGTCGTTTTATCTAGTTGTTTTAAAAGGTATTTGGAACTAATGGACCGGTCGCGATAATGCGTTTGAATATGAACCTTGAGTTCATAACATTAGAATATAAAATAAATAAACATTAAGTTTACATGAGTGACTGGAAAAAGACCACCGTCCTATAAAATTCAACTGACGTAATATAGTAACTTTTATGTTTGATATTATTTAGGTAATTCTTATATAAATAATTAAAAGAAGAAAGAGATTTGAAAAAAATCCACGTTATGCGCTTGTATGAAGTTTAGGCATAAAAAGGAAAAAAATAAACATCACATCAACAATTGCTGCATCACGCAGCAATAACAGTATTTCTATATTACATTACATTTAATTTGGTGCAATATGAAAATAATAAAATATATTATGCTCTTATAACATTCGTTACACTTTGCTGTAGAAGTTCTTTTTTATTTTGACGTACTTAGGAAAAAAGAAACTAGGGTAAAGAACAGTTACACAGGTGGGCTTATCCAACAATTAATGAAAACTTAATCGTTACTTGTTCTCTAAAGTACTTAGAATTTGTTCGTGTAAAAATTAAATAGGTATAATAATATAAAAGGTATATATATTAAAACAAAAGTAACTATGTTATTTAAACGAATTACAACACCATGTACAAATGCAGCAACAACTTCCTCTTCATTTTCTAAGCGCAGTTTATTGGTTCGCTTAGTAAAAAAAATGTTTATCTACATCGTGTGTAAAAATTATAAAACTAAAATAACAATAAAAAATGCCGTATAGAGTTAGTGATATCATTTATTTTATAGAATCTAAATCCAATCCATCCAATCCAATCCAATCTGTAGATATCCATCCATCCATCTCGCTTCCATGTTAACTGCTAAATGATAGAGTCTATACTATCATTCAGCAGTTAACATGGAAGCGAGACACCTAACGCTGATCCAAACTTTGAATATCAGTTTCTCAAAGTAGATCTGTGTGCTGCTCTAAACTACCTTCAATGTTCAAACCGTTATCAACCGGTCCATTTCAAAATTCTAACCATAGAAGGTGGCGATATATTGCTATGCTTGAGGCCCGCGGAACCCCGCTCGTTGTGATGCGGTGTCAATATTGACGGTCTATATTTGATCGAGATAAACGCCGACCGCTGAACATTTAAGCAAACATTGAGAAGTTGCTATATCTTACTACGTTATCAGTAGTAGTAAGGAATTTGATAGACGTAAAATAAAATTAACGACGTAATTAAAAAGTTGAAAAGAGCAGGGATTTTTTGTCATCAAGCTGATGAAAATAAATAATTATGATTAAGTTTTAATACCCTTTCAAATTAGAAAAATACTTGTTCTATATGAGATACAAAAATTTTCTAGCTAATATATTTGACGTTGCCTATACAAGGAGGCCTCAACGGACAGTACGGAGGAAAACCGTTTCGAATACCTCACTACAGCAGCCTCTACGATAGTAGAGCGCGTGGCCTCGTTTCGGCCTCGAATCTCTCCATCCCGCTTCTGGAACGCCCTCTCCCTCTGCCTCTGCTTCGGAGGAGATGAGAGCAAATCGCGAGTGGCGCCCTCTCTCTGTAGCTACGATCTGCAGGACCGCTGCTATACCAACCCCATTTTCATCCCGGTACGATGTCACGGTGTGGTGTGCGTATGACCTTACAGAGCGGGAATAGACACGTTATCTTTAAATTGATCAACTCTTAGATTAATCAAACTAGTCTGCCGGTGATTTGGAATGTTCTAGCTCAAACTAACTTCACTGAAGAATGATCACTAATAGTGGTCAAAAAGTAAGTGCGCCAAAGTTTCTATATAGTTAAAAAGAAATGATAATTTATTACATATTTTATACTCGAACGCACAAAGTTACATTAGATAACAATTGTAATTTATAAAATAAACGATGATGTGCTGTTGATACTTTTAGATGCATAATATAGTGTTTCTTTCAAAGCAATATTTACGTAAAATGATATTTGTTTATCGAATAGAGTTTTGTAAAAAATATAATATTTTTATGGCATTGACATTATTTTTTTACCAGCCCTATTTACTTCTATATAAAGTTAGTCAACGACTAGTCCTAATTCGCAATGTACATATTAATTTCAGATCGTAATAGAAAACATATAATAAAAAACACGAGATTTCCAGTTATAAATAAAATAAATGTCTATTTCCGTTATGTTTGGTTCGGGCGGGACGAAAATTTATTCGTTATGAATTATTTTTATGCATTAAAGCAAAACAGACGTGAAGACCACATACGTTGGGACGAATTTACGGAGTTGGTAATTATTAAAATGTAATTTTAAAATATTTCCTATTTTATACTTTTAAGTCAAATTTGCATCTCTGTAATACATGATGCATACACTTACGTATTCATTATGCATGACGTTCTTTGTTGTGGTGTGGTGTTGTAGTGGTGCATAGTACTTAATACAATGTATAAGGGTATTCATAATATTTCATTCCATTGTTATTGGAACGAACTTTTAAATGTTACATTTCTATGTAGGTTTTGAATATAAAAAACATTATTCATTACGTATAGAAAACAACGAAAATATTCTTTTTTTCTTCTTTACCAGCAGTCACAGTTACTGCTTGACAAGGCACCTCTATTATTTTATAAATATATTTCAATATTCATGAACCGTCTAATATAGAGACCCTTAATAAAACATGTTTGTAATGTTGTATTAGATACATTATATGTATTATATTTAAAAATAAAACCAGCTACTAACTCCGTAAATAATTGTCCCACAAGCACAAAGCACTTATAAAATTCTAACCGGCTCATTAAGCCAAATAAGTGAGTCAATCACGAACCACTGATTGGGTGTATCCCACCATGATTATTATATATTTGGTTATTGTAGCAGAGTTCCCAGCACCGATCACTATGGTGTATCCTCACATCCCTCACTGGTCCTGGGGAAAATCACATTATTTCGGCCAAAATGACGCTCTCATATTCACCAACACTAGAAGTATGTTCCAAAAAATATTTGCTTATATGCACAAATTGAGACCTCAACCAGTAAACAATGATGTCCTTATATTTAAGAATCCTTACTAAAAGTGATTGTTTAAAGTTTTAAATGTTTAAAATAAAATATCAGCCTGTATATTACTACTATTACATAAAGACTACTTATAAATGGGCAATACACCATTTTTCCGTCATCATTACAGTATATCAGAATCCACTTCAGAATATAGGCCTCCCCATAGATTGTCTCATGATGATCTTGCCATAATTGCCACGCTTGGCAAGCCGATTATTATTAAGAAAACTCTTTCACCTCTTACAGTTAGATTTCACTCTCTCTCTCTCTCTCTTAGATTTCTTAGAAGAAGAATTAGATTTATGTGAGTAAAATAATTTTCAGCTACACTCTATGTACTACCACAAGATGCAATTGCAGAAGCACTATCAATTAATAAATAAATTTAAAAAACCATGCTCCCTAACTGATTTATTTCTTCGTCTTGCGAGTGAAATAAGTTGCCGGCGCTTGTTTTGTCATCTAATTACAATTTGTTTGTCTTCAAGGCAGCACAGTGCACTTTAAATTTTCGATTATACTTACACTTATGAAGATTTAAAGTAAGATAGTAGTCCAACGTTGACTAGTACCATAATAGATGAAAAATTGTTCCGGTAAAAGTACAGCGGATTCTCTTACAATGGTTGTTATTTCGGTAGGTCGAGGCGGAAAAATGGAATTAGGACGACTAGTCATTAATGTATATAAGTGTGTAAAAGTATTTATACTAGTTTAGAATAAATAAAACAGCCGAAATAATTATATTAGAACACTAAAACCCTTTTAATTACCTTAGGTTCTATTTAGATGTGGAAGACAAGAGCCCCTATTCCTATGCAAATTATAAAAGTAATAATTTACTATATTAAAATGCAGTTAAGATGAAGCCAATATACAGTGTATATTATTGAACAAATAACCCTATGTATCAGAAAGCCCCCGAAGGCCGCCATGCAAGCTCACACTATCAACACCACCATTGCATGGTTTGTCCGTACGATCCATCCGCAAGCCACCGCCGCGTCGTACAACAGCAATTCGCTTTATGTCTATAAACACGAGCTTTGTATGGAAGTGTTACATTTTTCGTCGTCTAATTTTTTTTTCTTTTCTTTTGTTCATTTTGATTTTGCACGCCGAGACGTTGGGATGAAAAACTACTTTAACTGTCTATCGAATCGATATATTATTTAAAAAAAAAACATCTATATGATGTTCTTCGATAGAGCTGTATCTCTATCTGTTTGACAAATCAATTTAAATCGTATACACACACTATATCGAAATCCCAACGTATCCGCGTGTACGACCGGTCGTGACCGCGTGTGTGGTGAGCAGGAGTACACGGAGGAGTTCCGGGACATCGCGAAGGGCAAGTCCAAGGAGAGCCTGCCCACCGGCCCCATCACTCTGCTGAATCAGCGGCCAGTCAGCGAGGACGTACGTCTCACTTTATACACAACTCGTGGTCATCTTACTCGATATGTTGCAATGTGTACATATTAACATATTTTTATGCTCCGAGAACTCGTAACTTATAGAAAATTTATAGTAAGGAAACATTTTCGAGGACGTATTGAGAAATCTTCATTTGCACTGGAGCAGTGTGACAAACTCGTCCCAGGCATAAATTAAGAGGTAACCTCAGCTGTTGGAATATAGGCTTTTATTATTTAAATTCATCATTATCATCATTACCGCCTATCAAAGCCCAACATAGGCCTTCCCCCATAGATTGTTTCCTAGGGATATTTGCCATGGTAGCATAGCACAACGTGGCAAGCTTGGCGGGTTGGGAATCGCAGTTTTTTTATTGTTTTGGGATATTATCGGGAATGCTGCTGCCCATCTCCAGTTTAATACTTTGTCGCCTCTTACGACACCCACGGGATGAAACGTGGTAGGGGGTTTCCTTACACCGTCACCAGGTGGCAAATATTATTTAATTATTGTGTTCAAATATATGTTTGTCTATATAATATACTGATTTTAACAATTACGGACTGGGTTAAAAAGTATCGTACATTCAATTTTACTATCGAGTTAGATGCCACGACTTGTAACAAATTTTTCATTGCACACACCAGAAAACAACTAATTACGTTATAATTGAAATCCTATATATAGTATGTAAAAAATTTTATATCAGTAATTATATATCATCGTACAAAGTTGTTTGAGTGTTTGTGCATTTCACCGGGACTAAGCACACTTGCTCCCTGTAGGTGAAATCTATTTAAAGTTTTCATTCAATCCGATAATTATTGGACACAAGGTTCAAAGTAAAATATTTCCTCACAGTGGAAACTGTGATTAGGCCCGAAGAGGATTTAAATGAGAATGAAACAAAAATAAGTAGGCAGCCTTAGCCGATAAAGCTTCTTATGTTTTTTAGTAAACTTAGTGATTATTAGTTGTATGTTTGCATGAATCGAACTAGTGTGGTAATGGGTCATTCTCATTTCGATCTAAGTATAATATAGTATAGAGAAACGCTTTTTATGTTTATTTTTTTTAAATCTTGCATGATGAATGTAGCTTTAGACATTATGCATTTTGGCACGTTCGTCTTAAATTTCAATATTAACCCAATATACTATAAATTTATCAAATATATATTTAATTAAAATATAAAAGTTATTGGTTAATGAATTAAATTCAATATTTGGTTGTTCAGTTGAAAAATGAGATCATGAAATTCTATAATACATGAATGAGATGGTTGACGTATGACTTAGCTAACAATATAATACATTTGTCAACTGTCCTTCAGTTTATTTTCATTTCTTTTATGTGAACATAAGATTTGTGCATCCATGACAAATATAACAGATCTTTGTCTATTTTGAGAGTATGTCCTAATAATCGTCTAGACTTAAAAGCTAATAAAAATACTAAGATTTATCTCATTTTTGTATACATATATAACATATTCTTAATTATTTATTTATTTATATGAAAATATTACACTCATATTCTTTTTAGCTACTTACTGAAATTATGTTAAATTTTAAAAATGTGTACATTTCATAGTTGGTAAATGACTGGCTAAAAACTCAAATATCACTCAATTTTAAGATGACTTTTTGTCTCGTGGGACAACACTCAGTTTGACTTAAAGTGACAGAGACGGCACGAGACTTAACGACATTTTAAAATTGAGCAGCGTTTTGGTAATGTTTTATTTTACATCATCACGTCCTAAGTGATTTAAACTTGTTAACCAATAACTTTTATTTAACGATTAACGATTATACTTAATAAAAGATTGTTTATTTCATGTTTGTGCCTTTAAAAGAAAAAAAAATATTATTATATCAAAATGCAAAAAAAGTTGAAATTTGTATATTTTTATAAATTACAATATCAATGTTACTACAGGAGCTGCCGCCGATTAATTCGAATAAACCGAGCAAGAACGCCAACCACACCGAGCCGACTGGCAACAACACCGCGCCAGTCCCCAACAACACCCACAACGCACACTCCAACAACACCAGCGCGAACAACACTATCGACAAGAAGACCATCAGCGCACCCATAGCCGTCACGTAAGTTCCACATAAATATAACATAACATAAACACTCACGCCTGTCATCCAGAGGGGTAGGCAGAGACTACAGACTTCCATTTGGCACGATCCTGACACACCTCTCTCGCCTCCTTCACATCCATATACCTACGCATACATGCTCGTCGGTTAAGGGTACTCCGAATTTGGCCCGTTTTTAATAAATCGCTAATTCGGGCGATAAATTTTCGCCTAGGGCGTCCCTTTTCGACTCTGCCATTCACTTCTACAACATAAATTTTCTTTGTCACTCTTTCCTCATTCATTCTTTCCACATGACCAAACCACCGAAGCATTCCTTTCTTAATCCTGGTCACAACATCATCTTGCAAACCACACTTTTCTCTTATCACAAAATTTCTCACCCTGTTATTCAGATTCAGCCTAGCAGCCAGCAGATTCTCGTGCTTCTTCTGCCACACCCAACTTTCACTACCATACGTTAAAGTAGGGACCAACACAGCATTTGAATTGCCATACGTGCCTTTTTTGACACATTTTGACTCTTCACAATTCTAGGGATATAGATATCCAGTTTGTTTATTAACTTGAGTTGTTCTGAGCAAGATGCTGCTGCCCATGGTAAAACAAAACACTCTCGATTAATGCTTTGCCTGGAATTTCTTATACGTCGCCACTACACAACGGTTTATTATTCATCAGCCCATAAACTCTACAGTAGGACAACATGGGTCTATCCCGTTGTACCTGCCTCTCGCACCTGTGTCGCTGGTCGTTGACACCGATCTGTGTATTTCACGTCTGAGTTAACGAAGAAGTAACGTCGTCGTCGTAAATTAACCTGTCATTTCTTGGAAGCCATATTATATATATATATATATAGATGGCGGAGAGAGGATGTGCTAACCTTAGAAATGAGGGGAGGTGTGAGTGGTATATAGTATATATATATATGATACATATTATACCAATCTCGATTTGGAATGTATAATTATATTATTACCTACGCATACCTAAATTCTATCCCAATATATATTTTCGAGATTTTATTGCATAAGAATTACAGAGAATAGCAGGTGTGAGAAAATGGAGTAATTGTAAAAAATATTAAAATGATAATATCTACAAGTATAGCATTTTTGGTAAACATTAGATCAAACAAAAGGACTTCAAAAAATCCTGACTTCATCAAATCCAAACTTGCCGAATTTTCCTTTATCCTGCTGAATCCTTAATGTTTCATCCTTCCTTCTCCCTCTAGCATAGAGCGTCTGGAGTTATTCATGTGCGCCTCACAGTTGTGCCGCCATACCCACGGCTCCAGTGGCGGGAGGTTGTCTCACAATTCGAATGTGTCACCGCTACTCAGCATCGCCAAAGTGAACTCGTTTGTTACGTTAGTGTATGAAATTAAAATGTTTGCTTAGTAACCACTTAGTGATAGACAGTACAATTTCGTTATTTTTATGTAGTTAAGTTTAAACCAAACGATCTATAATAGTAGTTTTCTACGTGGTTTGTAGCCTTTGTACGAATGAGTAGGTTCTAGACTAGAGCAGGGCCACGGTGTCACAAAATAATAGCGTAAAATAGCAGCTTTATGCTGCCGTGTTTCGTATATTCCATCTTAGTCCTCAGGGGTGACAGCGCATATGCATTTTTTCTATTTTTGATTGTAGTTGATTTTTATGGACCACATCATCCTTTTACCATCAGATGGATTGTGTTCTCGTTTACCATTCTTGTTCTAAAAAAATATGAACAGAATTTTATTGCAGACTACGTTTGAATTGAAAAATCTTTTTTATATTCATTTTTATACAATGACTACTTAGGTACGTTTATTGACATTGGTCCTACGGTAGCCTCGAGCTGAATTATTCGTTTGATGAATACAATTATGCAACAACATCACTATCACATTTCATCACAGATCCACTGCTTAACATATCCCATCGTATAGATTTCTTTACGATACTTACATCAATCGACTCTCAACATACATTAACAGGTCGTCACTAGGTAGAGGGGTACGAAGCTGCCACTCACTGCCGCAACAAAACGTTACGTACCAGGGTTACCAGTTTGTTGAGATATAAAAGCGACAATAGCCTAATGGTAGGGTGGGTCTGAGAATTCAAAGATCGTAGGTTCCGCCATCCGTACAAGTATTTTAAGCTTAACTTGGGAGTGGTTAAAATAAATAATTATTAATAAATAATTTAATAATTAAATAAAACGCTTCGAGCACAGGCGCAGAGTAACCAGTGTCTTGATATTCTATAGGATGCATTTCGGAGAGTGTGCACAGGAATTATATTCTTTTAATTCCTCCCTATCCTGTCCAACATCGAACAACCTTTTGTTGTCGATATTACACTCATTAGAACCATACGGTTTCCTTCGTCTTTTGTAATGCGTACAGCGAAGGAGTGGAATAATTTTCCGTAACACGTATTTTTGTCCGAATATAGTGCGATTTACCGTCTAGGGATTTATCACCACTTACCATCAGGATAACCTGGGATTGTGATCGAACATTGGCTTATAATAAGTAAATATAGACATGGTTAGTCTACGGTTGTGCTTTTTACAGAGTAAATACATCGGTATAACTATAAGATCACACTGGAACGTCTATTATAAATATGTATTGACATTGCTATAGAGTATAGACAACAGATGTAATAGTAGAAAGTGTTCCAGGAACGGCACGGCGAGCGCGCCCAAGTCGAACAAGACCTCGCCGAGCAAGGACAGCGGGCGGCAAGACAACCCGTTCGAGGAGGAGGAGTGGGACGAGGAGTCGGCCGGCCTCACCGACAGCGGCGAGCCCGGCGTGCCCGTGCGCGCGCTTTACGACTACACCGGCGCCGAGAGCGACGAGCTCAGCTTCCGCCAGGGTGAGCGCGCAATTCTAAACTACATTCAAATTCACTCAACTACTCTGTACCACGAAAAACTACACTAAACTTCAATAAACTACATCACAGTACGATAATATGCAATCACTTCAATAAACTTTTTTCAATAAATTTTTACGTTGTAGAGACAGCCATGCTGCAGTTACATTAGTAGTATAGTTGTAACACAAATGGGTCGGCTCGACCGGGGAAGGACCACGCTCTCACAGAATACCAACGTCAAATAATAGCTTAATGCTGCTGTGTTTCGTATGGTGAGTGTAGAGAACCGGAGACCCTTTTTTACTGGAAACGAGGCATTCCACCTAAGTCCTCACGGATAGATCTGATTTTGATTGCAAAGAGGGTAGATGTCTATGGGCCACAGCAACCACTTACCATCAGGTCGGCTGTGTGCTCTTTTGTCATTCTATACTATATAAACTACATTACACTGCACATTTAACTTTAATAAGCTACAACTTCAATAAAAAAAAAACGTTTCTAACTAAATTAAACTTCTATAAACGACATAATACTCCGATTAAGTATAATAAAATGCAATACGCTACAATACTGAATTAAAACGTACACTGAGACTAAGCTACGCAATTATTGTTCTCGATATAAGACAACGCCCAGTGCAATGAGCTAAGTATTTAAGACTGAGACGCGTTACATTAGACTCCATTATGTCTATGTCTAGACTATACATTACACTTAGCTTCTTCTACATGTGATACATTACATTTACATGAACGAGTTCAATTACTATGTATTATCAGCATCACAAACTAGCACAGTTATTGTTTTATTTAATATTTTCAGGATCGTAAATCCGATACCCACTTACTGACAATATCAATGTATGCTTTTTTTCACATTGACTCAAATACAGTAATTGACAGTAACACAAAGTACTTATGCTACATTACAACACACCAATAAGTCCGATATTCATTCCTTTATTAAAAATTGTTAATTTCACTAAATAAATTTTCACTGTAAACTGAAATTACTACTTGCAGGTGATTTATTCGAGAAACTAGAAGACGAGGACGAGCAGGGCTGGTGTAAAGGGCGCAAGGACGGCCGCGTGGGCCTTTACCCCGCCAACTACGTGGAGCCCGTCGGACACTAGCGCCCCCTACTGTCAGCTTCACCAGAATGATTTTGCACCAAATTTTTAATGTAAGATCGCCTCGTCGCGCTTGTCGCCACACCACCTGATATTTAAACAGAAAACTTTGGCAGTTGATGGCTGTCTTGTCTGTTGTGTGTTGATTAAAAATTATAAAGATTTTAGGCGAGATATTTATAAAGGGGTTTAGGTGTGTATAATATAAACTGAGGACAGTTCTTAGGACATTTAATTTACACAACAATTAGTCATCTCGTTAAAAACCTTAGCAATAAGTCACGCAACAGACACGTTCGCCACCGTGTAAGCCTTCTGATCTAGCGCTCGCTACTCGCAAGCAATTATAATAACGGAAATCGAGATGTGCGTGCGAATTTCTTAAGGACCTGCATATGAACAGTTTTATTTTAACAAAAGCAATAATTTAAATGAGTTCGCGTTATTGGTTTACCTGAGAATTGTAGTTATTACAATGAAACCTGCATCTTTGCAAGTAATTGAAATTAAATGAGTTTGTTTGATAGGTGTTCCACCTATTGGTTATTTAAACTCAATAACATTCTGTTCATGGTGTTGTGGGTGAACAAAAGTACATATAAATTTAATTTTCAAGTAAATTAAAACTGCATCAATAGAAAATGTGTCGGTTCCTAAGCTTTGGCTGTCGTATGATTATTCGATTAAAAAATCGACACATCGAATACGGATTATCGTGACTCGAGATTTTTGACGCGTTTTTAAATGTGATTTATAATATTGATGCAGATTTTGTACGTATTTTTTTTAAAACTATTGTGACAGTCCGCATACCTGGCCGAGTGATATGGGTATGGGCCGAGTAATATTTTTGGATTAAATTCTTTGTACAACGTGAAAACCAAAAATGCTTTGTAATTTTAGTGACGTTTATATGCAATTTATTGTTTACAATGTAACAGAATATCATTCCTAAGGTGTTTCGATTCGATTTACATAGACTTTAGCCATAAAATATTGATTACTTTTACCCCACAATGCAACTCAAGTTGTGTGCATCGACTCGGAAACCTTCGGCATATCTTTCTCCCCAGGTTAGCTAAGCCAAAAAGAGTACGCCAATATGAATAGAATAGACAGATCTAGTTTTGTGGGACTATAATAAACTGAATTTGAAAATTGTGCGTCTAGCATATTAGAAATAATACAAAAAAAACCTTTCGCTCATTAAACTCGATCTTTCTTTTGAATATTTTGAACGTTTTCTGTTTATAATTTCGGTTTGTTTATTTTAACTTTTACATGTAATAGTTCAGTTGATGATAGTTCCACAAGGAGAAAGGAGTTTTTATTTTGTGATATAAAAACTTCTTAGATGGTCGTCGAGCACTGTCAGTGGGCGTGGTCGTGTACATACGCTGATATACCTTCTTGCATATAGAATATTTATTTACCATTGTATATAATGTATAATGATATTTACAAAACGTGAAGAAATGCAACGGGGCGGCGTTTATTTGCGCTCACGGCGCCAGGGCCTAATAATTTCTCTGTCGTATATCCGAGGTATAATTTTTTAATTTTTACTTTTATTGGAACATAATGGGATGCTATCGAGTGTTTTTATTTTGTGCGTCAACACTAGCGCCCCCTCGTTGTTTAGGTTAAATAATAATAGTTAATATATATCGAGTGTTTACCTTTCCTTTTCTTTTATTATTTGTAGTATTGTTGTCTGTGGCGAGGGCCGGTCGCCAGTCGCGGCCGTCGTTTTATTACTTGACTCGTGATCGTCGCTCTTAGAGTTTCAAATTTAGTCTTAGCCCTATTTGTTTAATTTGTTATGGGTTCAGAGGCCACTGATGTGAAAAATTCATTGTATTATAATATTATCAGAGAGAGGGTGGTAATAGACCACATATTATGTTAATATATTATAAATATTGGTAAAATAAAAATTGTTACATATGATATATTATATGCGTTTTAATTATTCTTGTTGTATACATCCCAAAACAAATTGAGATGGAATGGTTGATCGAGAGATTTATTAAAGCTGGCTGACTGTTCGGTATTCGAATAAAAAACGAAAATTACGGCATAAAGGCAGAATCACGTTAAAGGTAATTCACGTTACACCGCGTCGCGACCGGGCCGGGCCCCGGACGGGACACGGTCAAACATCTTATACTTTTTGTACGAAGTGATTCATGTTTGACAATGGCCCGGCCGGGGTACGGCGTCGAAATGTCGGTGGGTATTGTGCTCCGGCTCGGCCCGGCCCCGTCACGTAACATGAACGTGTACGCCGAATCTTTAAGAAGTGAGCAGCCCAATAACAAAATGGATGAAACATTGCTAGAACGTGTGCGCAAATATCCTGTAGTTTACGAAATCATCATCATCATCATCATTACAGCCCTTCACAAGTCCACTGCTGAAAATAGGCCTCTCCCAAGGTATGCCACAAAGCACGGACCTGAGCCACCTGCATCCATCGACTTCCTGCATGTCTTACCAGGTCGTCACTCCATCTAGTGGGGGGTCGCCCTACACTTCGCCTACCGCTACGAGGCTGCCACTCGAGAACCTTTTTTCCCCAACGGTTGTCGGTTCTTCGAGCTATATGGCACTTCAGCTTACTAATCCGTCGGGCTATGTCGGTCACTCTAGTTCTACTGCGGATATCCTCATTTCTAAGTTTATCACGCAGAGAAACTCCAATCATAGCTCGCTGAGCGACTGAGCCTCTACATACGGCCAACAGTAGCCTAATGGCAGGGCGCGGACCGCGAACTCAAAAAGGTCGTGGGTTCGAATCCGCCATTCGACTACTGGCGTGAATCACTCGTAACACAAGCAATTTAAGCTTACCACGAGTGGTTAAGGGGAATATTAGTAATGTTTATAGGATTGTTAATATTCTTAAAAAAAAAAACAGTGAAGGATCACGTCTCAGTTTCGTAGGTCATCAATGGCAACACGCACTGGTTGTACAGCTTAGTTTTCAGGTTTTGAGGTATAACGAGGAGTGTCGTATTACCGAGTCGGACTATTTGTCCCAGGTAAACGTACTCGTCAACAACTTCGAGCTTAGTGCTCCCAAAAACGACCGGCATAGGTGTGACATGGACATTAAACATGATCTTTATTTTGTCCATGTTCACCTTAAGACCTATCCGTTGTGAGGCACTATTGAGGTCATTGAGAGGTCCTCCAGCGATTCTGCCATAAGGACTATATCGTCGAAAAATCGAAGGTGAGTGATCTACTCGCCATTGATGTTATTACCGTATCCTTTCCAGTCCAGTAGCTTGAAAGACGTTTCGGGGAAATAACGCCACCCTGTCTTACACCTCTCTGCAGTTGGATAGGTTTCGTACTCCGGTTCTGTACTCGGATAGCCATCGTAGCCCTACTGTACAAACACTTCAGCACTTCGATATACCTACAGTCAACTTGGCACCGCTGAAGAGACTGTAGCACCGCCCAAATTTCGACGGAATCAAAGGCTTTCTCATAGTCCACATACGCCAGGCAAAGTGGCAGATTGTACTCTTCGGTCTTCTGTACAATTTGCCGAAGGGTATGTATGTGGTCTATGGTACTGAAGCCTTTTCGGAAACCGGCTTGTTCGGGAGGCTGGAAGTCGACGAGACGATTCATAATGATTCTCGAAAACAGCACGTAGACGCGGCTCAGAAGGGATATCGGTCTGTAGTTCTTTAAGAGGACGTTGTCACCTTTCTTGAAGAACAAGACCACCGCACTTCCGCTCCACGCCTCTGGATTAGTGCCACCATGGAGGATGGAACTAAAGAGCCTCTGAAGGACTTCAAGTACCGGTTTTTCACCCGCTTTCAGAAGATCCGCTGTAATTCCATCCTCGCCCGGGGACTTGCCGTTCTTAAGGTGCTGGAGAGCCATTCTAATCTCGCTCAGACTGACGTCCGGGATATTATGGGAATAGTGTCGGATAAAACTTGCTCCTGGATCGTTACACTTGCGTGTGGCTCCAAGGATGATTTGTACAGCTGCCCATAGAACCTCTCAATCTCACTCAGAATCTCAGGTGTCCCGGAAACGATGCTGCCACACTCAGTCTTCAGCTTTGACAGTTGGCTCTTACTGGCAGACAGATCTCTGGCAAAGCAAAAATTAACTTATAATGAAACTGAAAACCTGCTTAGTATTCAGACTTAAAAATAAATTCTTATATAACTGTCACCTGTAATACTACCCGTATAAAATCATAATAACCAGACACATATACACGCACGTGCGCAAACACACACACACACACACACACACGACACACATTTTACACGCTCCTCTCCCATAACTGCTCACACACATTACACTCAAAACACAATTACTTCTTACAGTCATACATTACACATCTTATGAAAGAGGAACGGCATTAGTAGTATAAATTATTATTATTATTTTGTTTGTACCCTGGTATTAGTAATAAGTGATAACATAGTAATAAACATAATATGTGATACAATTAATTTCATTGTACTTAAGTGATATTAGCGGAATGTACAAATTTTTAGATAGTATTTGATTATTTAACTTTTGCTTGCATCCCAATATTTCTATAAATTAACGGTGGGGATATGGCGCTGACAGCTGATGCACAGGTCTCCTAGTTCGGCTGCAGATGCTATGTTTTCAAGTATATGTACTAATGTAGCTTTATTAAATAATGTTATGCAAATATCGTGATGTAAAACCTCTTGGAAATAAAGAACTTATTATTATTATTATTATTAAAGACTTTGGAGCCCTGGTTCCGCTCGATCTCTTCTTCAGTGCGAGCAGTATTAAAGTTGCGTAAGTCTCGCCGCATACATTTGGAGATCTGTCTGTTCAGTTGCCTGTATGCTGTCAAATCTGTTGACGATTGCAGCCTCATCTCCCGTCTAACAGGCATGAGATTAAGAATGTGATCGGAGAGTTTTTGTGTTCATCTGCGGCGGGTCTTGCAGAACTTAGCTCCGACCGCATGTACAGTTTCC